ACGATGCACCTTCCACACTTCCCTATGCCTAACACATGCTAAAAATAAAAATAAAATAATATTTGTGCAAAAAGTTTCCTAACTTTAAAAATAAATAAATAAATAAATGACCTCTCACTGAGAAACACTAAGACTGTCACAGATTTGTAAATCAGAGTCCACAATGAATCTCCCCATTTCAATCTTCTGGGGGTTGAAATAAGGTAGAGATGGAAAAGAATCTCTTCATCCTCTTTGCCCAGAAAGAGACCCAGGCAGAGAGTGACAGAGCCTCTCTCAAAATACTGCCTTACTCAGTGAAGAAAGAACAAAGTGTGGACTTTGAGACGGCTCCTTAGACCCAACCAACATTGGTTGCCAGTGAACCAGTCCTCAGTGGGACAAAACTCCAAAACCATTAGCTGCAATGACGAAAAGAAAAAAAAAAAAAAACCTGTCCTTGGGGTCTGGCTGGCTAATAACTCTTCCAACCACAACCTTCTTAACCAATTGTCCCAAAGTAATCCTTCCTAACTAGGTCCAATGCCACCAAGTGCGAGAATGCTTTCATTTTAAGGATGTGGGAAGTCAGTGCCATTTTAATTTCAACTAACATGTTTCATCTAGACTGAAACACAAATTGTGATTTCTACTAAAAACTAGAGAGAAATGAAATGCTTACAAGATGCTACTAGCATAGCTAATTCTAAATTCCTGAAGAAACTGATAGTATGCTGGTAAAGCAATCCATTAATACCAAATCATTCTCTGTGGTCTGCTAAGGTTCCCAACGTTCTATGAGCCATAACAGTAGAATCAAGATTTTTAGAGAAAGGATATGATTTTTAAGGCGATTCTTCTGAGGGAAGCAGCTGGGTATATTTCTAAAGTGGGGTAGCCTCAGGTTTGGAGAATAATGGCCTTAGTTTTTCAAATAACCGTCTGGATATCCTTGAGCAAGTCACTTGCACGTTCAGAATCTCTGTTTTCTTGACTTGTAAAAATGGGGCGTTTCAGCCAAAGTCTCCACCAGCTGTAAAATTCTAAAATTCTCTAAGTCATAGTTTACTGCCTCACTGGCAAGACTGCCACTATAATCAGGATGATCCAATTAGCACTCTGCAATGTAGAATATTCTATTTGTAGTTTCAAAAGATAGACTATGTTAGACTGGAAGGAGGGCAGATCATGAAATGCAGTCACCTTGTTTTTTGAAACAGCTAAGGAGTCTAAGGTCCAAAGATGTCAAGTAACTGGGTTAAATTACAAGCTCATTAGTGGAAGAAGACAACTGGGGCTGCCTGACTAGTCCTGTTTGCACTGCTCCCCAGTTGGCCTCCGGCTGCTCTCTTCACTAGAAGTTGCTTAGTCTCTCCGAATAATCACAGTGTGGCTTTTATGCCTCTCATTAAACGCAGCCTACATCACAGCTGTGCTTTACTGGCCTCAGGGTTATTAGTTTTCCAGGCACCTAATCCAGGAGACATTTGAAGACTGACCTGAAGGTTTTCATGAAAATGTGCCCAGGATAAAATACTTTTAAAAGTCCAGTGAGGGTTGACCAAGAAAGCCAATATCTCCACACCTTCCACCTGCTTCCCATTTTATCAAATGAGGATTTTATAGGAAGGAAGAGCCTCATGAACCCATGTCTGCCCCAACAACTTTCAAAAACCAGGCTGTGGCCTCAATTGCATAAGCATTTTGTCACTCTGGCTTCAGGCCACTGTGAAAGCAGACAGCATCTCTGGCATTCATACACAGACTCCACAGGTAAGGACCCAAGCCACCTGACAGCACAGATGCTGCCCTGGTGGCAAATCTCACAAATCCTGTATCTATTTCTGCTTGTGAAATGCTGGATGGGTTACAGTAAAGGCTACACTGGAACACTGAGCCCACTACTCCCCCAGGTACAGAATCTTTGGAGGCGCTGCCCTGCAAACCTTTTAGGACAATCTGGGAATTTCTGTGCAGGAGCAATGCCGCATGCCACCCAGTATGCTGCAATTTGTTCCAATGTGAGACAATTTGTTCCAAAGAGTACAACTGACTGCTAGACATTAAACCCTATATTATGTTGGATCCAACAACTTGGTTGAATCTCTCAGACATAATGATGTGTGAAAGAAGCCAGACGCAAAGGAGTATGTGCTGTGTGATTCCGTTTATATAAAATTAAAAGTATAAAGCAGGCAAAACCGATTTGTAACAGTGACACAAGTCAGAATGGTGATCCCTCCATTGGTGGGGGATATAGATTGGAAGAGGCACAAGAGCCATCTAGGGTGCTAGAAATATTTGGTTTCTTAATTTGGGGTAGTAGTTATGTGGGTGTCAAAATATTTAAAGATTCATCAATTCTATACTTTAGATATGTATGCATTCTACTGTATGCACAATAAAAATTATTTTAAAGGGCTAGGAGTGTAACTCAGTGGTAGAGTGCTTATCTAGTACTAAGACCCTGGGTTGAATCCCAGCAGGAAAAAAAATTAAAATGTTGTATGGGGTCCCCTTCTTTCCTTCAGCATAAGAATATCTGAGATTATCTGAATTGCACATTTACAAATAATATTATTAGAAATAGCCACAGCTAAATTAAATGCTTAAACTGTGCAGGGAGATTTATGTGAATTATCTCCTTTAAATCCTCAAAACACCTACATAAGATAAATACCATTCAGATTCCCACTACATAGAAAAGAAAACTCAAAGTGCAGAGAAGTAAAGTAATTTGTCTCAAGTCATACAGCAAATAAAGTGGAACTAGGATTTGAACCCAAAGCAGACTCATTCCACAGCTTTCGTTTGCAGTTGATCTTAACATTGTGTCATATGCTACAGGGGAAGGGTCTTCCTGAACTTTGATAATGTTTGATAATCAGTTCTGTCTTCTCACTAGTACCTGAGAAGCACCGAACATCACAGTGCCTTGTGCATGTTCTGCATCAAGAGGAAAAAGGATAAGGGCTTGGGCCGTGTGCTAACAGTCTCTAGCTGATTAAATCCTAAAGTTCATTCAGGAGAGACACCTAGTTCAGCATAAGGGCCTGTTCTTTTCCTTGCCATTAGCAGAGGAGCGTGGGTGCTGTTACTGGCTTGTTTTCTTTGACCTTATTCCTCTCCCTTAAAAGAAACACACCGTGGGGCAACACAGAGTGGTTTTGTATGCTATTCACTGGGGCTTTCTGTAGCAACATGTCCTAGGATGAAATTTCCACAGCATGCCACACACTTTTAAGATCTATTTAGACCTTTTGAAAAGACCAAAGGGGCTTGTTTTCCTCTTTTTCTAGCTTTTATATTGTTATTACATTAAACATAATGTATCTGTGGAGCCTGGAGAAGGCATTAACCACTCTTTAATTATAAAATACATAGCTTGTTATTTTCCAGACACCCTCTTTTATCCTTTACTGCCTTCTCAATTAGGGATCATATGAAACCTGTTGGATCATTGATTTCTGGATTAAAAGAAGCCATAAATTAAAGACCCTCTAAAAACCCACTGGAGTAAAAGGCAGAAAGTGACTTAATGATGTCTGAGGGCTTATTAGCAACCAGACCCAATTCCTGGGCTCCATAACACAAATTCAGAATAACCCCCACCTGACCCCAGCTCCCCAAACAATTGTTTATGTACTAATTTTTCAATTAACTTGGAATAATGATCGAATGTGGAAACTTTCAATTAAAAAAAAAAACTGGTCTCATCTCACCTGTGTCCCAGTGACCCACTGTGGCTTCCTACTCACAGTAATCTGTGAAGTCACAGCCCTGGTCCTCACCCCCAACCCAAATTCAGAGTTAAAACTGTAGGTCAGTTATCAGCAGACTTCGGATCAGAATAAATTTGTGTCGTCCTCTTAACTGGGACATGGTTCTGGGCAAATGTCTCCACCCTCCATCTGCCTGCTCTGCTGTGCAAGACTTCAGTCCTCCTCCCAGTCTAATCTCCAGCCCCCATACAGCGCTAGCCAGTCCCAGAGCCAGGTCCCTCTCCCTGCAGTCCCATCTTAACATCTACCCATGTTGGGCAGACTAAATTTCTTAGAGTTGTCCCTTGTGAATAAAGTCTTCTACCCGCTAACTAGGCCTTGCCCAAATCAAACAAGAATGTGCTAGCCTTTGAGAAAGTAGCTCAGGACAACATAGCTGGCCTCAATAGTTAGGCAGGCTCCCTACAAGCCAGCGTGTGCGTGACAAGGTAATTGTGCCCATCTCCTCATTTCTTCTTGTGTCTGTACCTACCAAGATCTGCCAGATCCCCCAAAGTCCTCCATGGGCTTAAATCCTACCCAAGTCTGCTCCACGGCCCCCATGAATTCAGGCTCTCAACTAGAAACCTTTGCATTTGGCAAAGTTAACATTCTCTGTTTCAGTGAGGTATAAGTGTCTCAAAGACATTCATAATCTCAAATGCTATGAAGATAATCAGTGTGAATTTGGAATGGAAGGAAATCATTGTTCTTAGTGCCCAGCTTCTGTAGCTCAGGCTAGCATGGCTTTCTAATCTAGTTAGCCTTCATGAAGAGATTTAAACACACAAATGCATACACACATACATGCATACACACACACACACACACACACACACATTTGTTCCTTTCTGGAAAATGGGCTTGGAAAAAATATGTTGGTGCTAACAAAAGAAACAAAGTACAAGCTAAGAGGAAAAAGAAGCAATGCTTAATCAGAAAATAAAACTTTCAAAAAATTTCATCATGGAATAATAAATTTGGTGATAACTGAAATGAATGAACCCATCATATATTTTTTATAGATGTAAGAAAAAGTGATTGTAAAGCAAATGACCCAACCAGAACCTGAACCGTACCTGGTATAGAACATTATATGCAAACATGGCCATCCAGAAGTCTTGGGATCCTTCAAGAGTGCCAGGGTCTATTGTATTGGTATTGCTCAGGGGAAAACAATTATTTTGCAGGCATTTTTCAGAGAGTATCCGACAATGGCAAATGGAACATCAAAGGCAGGTTCTTTGGCAATATTCTTACCTGGTCATCATAGCGGTACGTAAGGAACTGCTCCCCTGTTGTATCTTCCAGAAAACTTCCCTGAGGAGAGAGTGCAAACTCAGGAAGGAAGTAGGCTCCAGGAGACTTCTCTGCTGTGGTCTGAAAGGCAAAGTCACCTGGTTACACAAAAGGCTCCAGGGCAGACCTCCTAAGGGACAGATTCTAAAAAGGACATTCCAAGAGAATCCAGAATTCTGCATTCAGAAAAGGGAAGTGCCCTGTCTTGGCAAAGACCAAGGTGGGGCACATCAGGCACCTGTGCTGGGGACACTGTTAGACCAGGATATCACATTGGTCTTTCTCAAATGACAGGAGTGGAACTATTCCACTGCCCTCCTCCTGCTGCTCCCCACCTTTCGGCAATTCAGCCACAGAGAAGTTAACTGCTTAAGTTTTGTTGTTGCAAACCTATTGCTTTTACAGTACATTTTCTTTCCTTTTTTCTTTTATTATTTGGGTGTGTATGTATATGTGTGAGTAAAACTGGGAAATGAATTTTTTCCCACACTAACAGAAAGGCATGTCCATTATAGCAACTTAAGAAAATACAGACTACCACAAAAGACAGCAAAATTCACCCATAATCCCTTCAAGTTATGAGAACTACTTTTAATTGTTTTGGTGGATTTACTTAGAGTTTTTTTTCTATTAATACTTTTTATCTTTTTATAAAAATCCGGGGTTAAATAAATGTGACTTTTGCAAAAAAACTCCATTTAGTTTATGGAAAGCTCATACCCTGGTATCTGAATCATTAGATCAAGTCCCATTGATTGCTGTTTAAAAGGACTCAAGGAGAAGGACACCCCTGTTGGGGAATATGCCTTGGACAGAGTGATTAATAGACTTGTTACTATCAAGCCACCCACCTCCTTACTGATAGATCCCATCCAAGATAATTTAAAGGATGCAGAGTGATTACCAGGATTTCTACCTTGATTGATTCAAGAAGGAAAGTCAAAAAGGAGATGGAATCCCCAATGCTTAGTCCTGTCCAACTGAAAAACATGGACCCATGACTATCCCCTCAACTGGGAACCTCACTCCCCCATGCTTGGGAAGGAATGAGAAAGAAACAGAGTAAGAGGTCAGAGGTATTCCTCCAAGGAAATGGATCTCTGCAAATATGATGAGTCAGGAACAAATGTACATTTCCGGAGCAGAAGTATTTCTATTGCCCCATGGATCTCATTCCAAAACCACAGCTGAAACTTTGGTTGAAGCAAAAAACATGCATTTGAGTACTGCACTTTAAAATGAGAACTAAACACACAGTAGTTTTGTCAAGGAACAGAGACCATCTAACTTCACTAGATTAGATAGCACTAAGAATTTTCAAGGTTTTCTTATTGAATTTAATTTGCATGAAAAATTTAGCACCACTATTCTTAATTTGTCTCTACTGGCTTCACAATTACCAGAATCATAATTTTAGATGCCTTAAAGATACTGCAGAAGTCATCCTAGGTCAAAATTCTTATTTTATAAATGAATTAACTCAGGTAGTCAGAGTTAAGAGACCTGCTTATCATAATGAAGCCAGGCATTAGACCCTTAGTTCCCATGTACAAAGTCACAGACAGATCCACTTATCAAAGATTGGGAGCAGTCGAGTGTCATTACCTTAAAACAGTTTTCTGAATGTAGAGGACCTTCCAAGACTATACTTATGTTAAGTTGACCATGCATTCAGTACATGGTTATTGAGCACCTGCCATATGCCTGGAATACAATGAGGAACAAGGCTAAAGTCCCTGTTTTCATGAAAGCTACTTCTAGTGGAGTGGAGGAAATACATAATAAAATAACCTAAAGCATATAAGTAAGAAAATTAAAGTTTGAAATGCTGTAAAAGAAAGAATTGGGTGATAGGAGAATAGAATTGGGAGGGGATACTTGATTTTTAGATAAGATGGTCAGCAAAAGGATCCTCAAGAAGGTATGATTTCAGCTAATTTCTAAAGCATTCAAAGGAGCCCGTTTTGCAAAAAGCCAAGAATGAGTATTTCTACCAAATGAAGAGCAAGTCCCAAGGCCCCAAAGTGGAAAGGAGGCCAACAAATTTAAAGAATAGAAAGGAGGTCAGTGTGGCTGGATTCAGTGTGGACAAGCAGCATGAAATGGAGATATGAAGGAGAGAAAGAGCCAGGACATTCAAAACCTTGAGACCATGGCTGGAATCACACAATTGTACTTAAACAACAGTGACTGCTTAGTGGGCTAGAGGAGGTAAAATGAAATCATTGATACAAACAGGTTAAAAGGGATGGTTCATTGGACTAGAATCATCATCCCAATGGAGATGGAGTAAGGTGGTTGGATTAGAACCATCCAACTTGCTGATGAGGGAGAAAAGGGGAGGAATCCAGGATAATTTCTGGGTTTGAGGCTTAAGCAACAAACTAGAAAGGAATGCAATGGATTAGTAGCCTGTGGCAGGCCTGGATGCTCTGGGAAGAATGGAGTCATGTGAAGTTGGAGTAGTCTGTGAGACAATCCTCATGGAGAGCTTGAGTTTCTGTTCCATATGCAACTCAGGAGTTCAGGAAGATGTGAGACTGGAGTAAGAGATTTGGAAGTCACAGCTGAAATTTTCATACACACACACACACACACACACACACACACACTTACAGCCATTATGCCTGAAAGGACCATACCTAGAGAGTTTGATAGACAAGGGAGCTTTTCCTGGTACTCTCAACAATTCTAACACTTGAAAATGTGAACAACAACAAAAAAAGAAACAAAGAGTCTGAAAATGATCACTAACTGCAATAGAATGAAGAAAAATCCTGGGTCATAGAAGGATTCAGCATCAAAGAAAATAATCAACTATCTTGAGCTCTAAGAGATGGAGGGAGACGAGGCTGGATGAGTGTCCACTGGGTCTGGCAACAAGGAGGTCACTATTGACATTGACAAGCATAGTGACAATGAAGTGGCACAGGGACAATTCCAATGAGTATGAGTGACAGGAGAAGAGGAAGTGGAGACCATGAAGGGAGATTGAGAATGAGGCCATAGCTAGGGGAACATGGAGTGGCAGGTAGACATTTTTAAAGACAGGAGAACTTCTATTACTGTGATACTCCAGTGGGTGAGGGTGAGGTAGGGAGAAGGAGGAGGAAGAGGAGGGGTCAGAATAAGATGATGGCCATAGTAAAGCTCTTTAGAAGGAAGAGGAATGGAATCCAGCTTGTTACCAAATGGTTTGGCTTTGTAAAGATGAGGGCCCTGGATCCATGTAAGTCCACATCAGGCCATGTTTCTTTGCTGACTCCTGACTTTGAGCTATCACCTCCCCCGGACACCTTGCCACTGGGTCCCAAGATCATCTATCTGTCCCTTCTGTGCTGTCTTCCCTCCCATTCAATTTTCTTTCCACTTAGCAAAGTGGGACTCTCCTAAGACTGTTACAGAAAAAATCTTTTGGAGTCTCTTTTGGTAACAGCACAATACTTCTCTTTGTTCCTTGTGTTCCTACAGTACTAAAAACAACTACGAACATTTCCTAAGTTCCAACAAGCTTCCCCCACCTTCAACTTAAATTCAGATTGGTAATATAATATATTTGTCTATCCCAGGCTTCTTTCTCTCCTCCAAGGCTCATTTGGGCACTGCATTTTGTAGGAACTTCCTAAGTCTGAAGACAGAGTCTCCACTGGCTCTGCATTCCCCAGGTGGAGACTGGGGAACATCATAGTGAACATCACAGTGCCTGGTACATGGGAGGTGAGGCACGAAAGACTGGTGGCATCACCTGAGTCAAGTAGTAAAGGACCTGCTTCCCTGGCAACCCTGTGGGAGTTCAGGGTTACCAGTCCCTAGGCTAAACAAGATTTTCTTCACACCCCCATCATATTAATTATTACAGATAAACAATGAAGCTTTTACACTCATCTCTTTTTATAAAATTCTTACTCCAGAATAAATTTTCACTCAGGAATGTATTACAGCCCAGGTACAATCCAAGTATTTTCCAAAACTCCATAGCATTGAAAGCACAGTGAGGCCACCTCGCACCTCCATGGCTGTCTGCAGTGTTGTCGTATTGCACGATTATGAAAGCCCAGCATTTCTTGGCTCTCTGATCTAGCCTGACTTCCTCAGGAATCCTGCCAGACACTCTGCAGCTTCTATTTGCATACCTTTAGTGACCAGGAGCTCACTCTCTTCAAAGCTACAGGGGTCTGTCAGAATCTAGCCAGTTTAAAGACACCAAACTTGTCCAAAGTGGCCCATGGCTTTCCAGCTGAAGTGCCTTGGCCCCAGCACCTTCTCTGACATCCTTCTCCACAACTCCCCTCCTACATATGCACCATCAAGTAGAATTCTGGCATCTGAGCAGAGTGGGGTCTAGGATGGGCCAAATGTCTGAAGCACAGAATTGCAGAATCAGAAGGAACTTTAGAGACAGTCTAACCCCCACCTCTCTTGAGGATGGAGTTTCTCTGGCAACAACTCCAATTGTAGATGCAACATATTCAACAAAGATCCTTTGGAGAAAAAGTGGAAGGAAGGCCACTTGGGGTTTCTGAGTGTCTAGCGTGAGCTAGCACCTGTGGAAGCTCCTTCCGTCTTCACACTTCACTGTGAGGTGGGTGCTGTAGCCTTGCTGCACACAGTGGGTTAGGACATTTGACTAGCGATACACAAACTTTTGGCTGCCCAGGCAAACTTCATCCCTGTTTCCATTTCCTCTTCTCTTTCAATTGGGTAAGAGTCTTAGAAAAACTGAGCAGTATCCTTTAGGAGAAATGGCTGAGTCCATGCATGGTCTTAGAAAGTGAGCCCCATAAGGAATGCATTTGACATTTCCACCCAGATGGGTGGTAACTTCCTAAATGTCAGTGAGACTCAGGGGCATGTGGCTCCTTATGGGATGGGGTGACCAAAGAGGTCAGGACCCTTAAGTAGCAAGAGTTGGAGAGAAGACAGGGGGAGGGAGTCCAGATAGGAAGTGCACAATCTTCCCAGGGCACAGAGCCAGGGCCTGGGAGAGAAGCTGCCAAAATGCATCCTCTCCACCAGCTGCTGAGTCACCAGGGACAGGGGCAGGAGGAATCCAGACAGCACCTCCAGGGACTATGAATCTG